TTGCTTGGTCGGGCTGCTCAATGGTCAGTCTCACAGCTACGTACAGAAGTAAGATAAGTGAGAATTTATCTATTATTCAATATAGTATGAAAATAATCTAAATATTATGTTGGGGTTGACAGAAATGATATGATGTCCATCTGAGTTAGCACTTACATTCTCTGCATCGAGCTTCACATTTTTCAGATACCCCAGATTGTTTTTCTGCTGCGGTGAATCAGGAGGACATGGAGAGCAGCACCCAAACCACCAGAGCCCCACATCCACACTGAAGTGAACTAAACGCTCACCATAGCTCACATTTCCATCCTCAATCTTTCTTTTTTACTTTTGTTTTAAAATATATTTACATCTTTAATTAAGACAGGGCTGGGTTAATTTACACAAGAGGGTATTACAAAAATACAGTTTCAATTTGGAAGGGCCTACACGACTTACTGTACTCCATATGTTATCATTATCATCCTCCATTTGTCCCCAAAGAATATGAATACTATTCTACAAAAAATACCACGTCATTGTTTCAGATTGGTTTTCACCGCATGCTTGTACATATTCAACTTTAATGAGTTTATAAATGCATTTATAATCAAATATTTGATTGTGCTCCTTGTAGTATTTAAGATATGTATTCTCTACACACATGGGATATGGAAATATGTAGAAAAAACAGTATGTGCCCAAATAATTCATAGTGTGAATCATTTTGGTCTATTTTCAGCCAAAATGCTTCAAAAATGTTTAACGTTCAAAATGTATTGCGGGCAAAAAACCAGGCTGACCTGCTAACAATAATTAGCTTACTTGTCAACACTTAAGAATAATTTGGCCAAAAAGATATGTCTCAGTTGTTCATTTGGACATGAATATATGTAATTCCTCTTAAAAACAAAAGGCTTACAGAGTTAATAATGGTGCTCTGCATAGTGTTGTTAGGTGTGTGTTGCCCTCTGCTGGACAACAATGCAATGCAATACACCTCTCTTTGTTTTCCGTGTTGTGGCATTAATGGAACATTTCTGTCACAATGAAGACTCATCTATCAGTTTTAATTGCAACAACAGTGTGTTCTGTATTGAAAAAACTGGTTTGTATTATTAATTAGCCATTTATAAGTATTCTGTTAGCTGTTCTGAGGGAAGAATCTTAGTCAACCATCCCAAGGATTCAAACCATGTCTTCACTTTTTACCCATGTGGCTCCCGTCAGCTTCCTCCACTTTCAGGGTCTGACAGACAGTTATGAACATTGTTGAAATGTTGCATATACGGTATGTATAAGTGGTGTCAAAGGTTTGAATCTGACTTAAGAAGGCTACTTCACCCCCTATCCATCCTATCTTTCCTTTTATTTTCCACTATATATTTTCTTAAAAGGCATGATAGGCCATAAAAAATAATTGTTGTAATGAATGTTTTAACTTTGGCTAAAATCTGGCCCTCGAGGCTCTCTATCCAGACTTTGTGGTTTACTGATGCTAAGCAGCTCTTGGCATGAGTGTAACTCTGCGATTAGTGCCCCTTTAAACACTTATAATTCACAGCCTATGAAAATATTATCAGAGAGGGCCAGCTCTCTGCCTGAGGGGGTCAGGAGGTTGTTTTAATGGTACCATGGGCTCAGTGTGTTGAACTGTTGGAGCTCTCGGCATTAGTGTTGTCTTAAATCACTTTCAGTGGGTTGAGAATGTGAAGAAAACTACAACATATAATCATATGTGTACATGGAGTAATGTAAACGTGAAAATTATAGGCCTAATACTGTGGCTATTAAAGACACGACATAACTGGAACATGTGGAAATTCTTTTAAAAGTTTGTATTATAATGACAAATGGTTTGTTTTTCCAATGTTGTGTGTGAGACTGAATTCTCATATGTTCACATCTGCACACACACCTCTGCTCAGACCTAAATTTCCTGTTAAGTAGTGGTAGGAGGAGGTGTATATGACACATTTGTCCTTCAGCTGGTGGCTCATTTTAGCCGACAGTTTACATAAGGAAGCTTAAATGTCAATAAATACTTTGTTCTGCTACACAGGTGCTTTCCGTTTTCAAGACTCAATCTTTGGTGTGTGGATGAAAGAAATAATGAAAAATAACTGAGAAGAGGTTCGACTTTATGATTCGACACCAAAGCCAAAAAATGCAATAAATATGTTTTTACCTTATCATCACATACCAGATGTATAAACAACCCTTATTTGCGTTCTTCTTTTCTTATTTACTGGTAACATCCCGGAGTCATAAAGTCGACTAACTGGACTTTGCATTTTGCAAGGTGGATTCAAAAGCGTATAATGTTTTTTCTGTTAGAAGTGTTTTTTTAGAATCCCTGACAAACGTGTTACTTTTCACAGATTTATAATACTGTTATGAGCCAGACAAAACACACAAGACATGGTCCATATATGAAAAGTATCTATAGCCTGATGAACATCTGCCTTACTTCAAAATAGTCAAAATAGGGATTTTCAGTTTCACAAAAGAGATGTATCTTAAAACACTGATTACCTTTACACCTTGATGGTTTTGTGCATTCATTAGATACTACTTTACAATTTAATCACTTTAATATCTGTTTCCAGATAGTAGATATTAACATGTTATGTTCAACTGAAGGTGACTGGACACAAACTCTGTCCCTCTAATGACGCTCCATATACTGTAAAGGCAAGTTCGCCCTCTGCTGTACAACAATGACATTGCATGGATAGTGTAACTGGAAAATGATGGTTATGTTCACATACTTATTTGGTTATTAAAATGTAAACCGATCTTTTTCATATAGGTGTTTTAGAGTTGTACCCCCATCTAGTCTCTAGTAATTGTGTGCTCAAAGTGCACCAGATTGAAGCATTTTACTGTAAAATGTTAAAATAAATCTTTCCCGGGGGCATACCCCTGAACCCCCCAAGAGGATGTGACGTCCACCCCCCAATTAAAACATGTTCATACAACAATGAATACATTTGAAACCTTATGTATGTCAATACGTTTCAGTTTTTCTAGTGTATTGGTCTTTTGTAGAGATTTTTCATTTATTCTTTATATATTCTATTGTGTATTGCTTGGAGGGGCGGGGGGGGGCACCAAAATGTCTAGGGCTGGCCTTGCGTCCAACTGACAGCCCACAGCTGATAAGAGGTAAGACTGGTCCACTGTCATCCGCCATGCAAGGTCAGGGAGATAAAAGTCTTCAGACAAACGTCAGGGACATCTTTCTTGCTGAGAATATGTTGTCGAGGACTTAATGCGCCATCCAAGTTATACAATTGAAGATAAACAAAGTTCTGGTTTAGGGTAGATATCGAGAGAATTTGGCTGTGTTTCAGAAATGAAGATCTATTTAACCTTCACCGTTGAACATCACATTGATCTTCTGCAAGCTTCATGCATTTTAATTTATATGCTTCCCCTATTGCTAAATTCCCCAACTGCATTTGTAAGAACTTCTGTCTTTGCCAATCTGAACACTTTCCACATTTGTTCTAGTGTTTCCACTGCAATGAATCTTACAAACACAAAAGATCCACTGAGAAAACGAACCATCGTAAAACCTTCTATGTGCTGCATGTTTATAATCCACAGTGTGCTGACAGTCAACAGAAACAGTAATGTCAAAGAGTGTTGTTAGGACAAGACACAGGAGGACTGCCTCTAGAACAGCTCTGCACAACATAGTCGGCAACATTGTCCAGCCGATGGCGCCATAGATGTATTCCTGATCGTGAGTGGACCCTGTGATTGTGCAGAAATAAAATAATTATATTTGGAATTACCAAAACATAAGTATAGCCCACTGTGATGGTGATTGTTTTATTTCATAAACTAAAGAAAACGAAATAAAATAACATTGATTTAATTCAAAATATAGGGCATGGGCAAACTGAAAGAAAACGACGAGCATGCCATGATTTTGACAATTTATTTTCATTTTCGAAATGTTTTGCAGAGATACTTATAACTTAGATATATCTGCAGAAATATCTACTGTTAGATTGATTTCTATGATAGATAGATAGATGGTTTGATCCTATACTTTACAAGGCAGAAATTCAAAGCCAATGCAACAGGGGATGTGCAATGTGTGCAAATCATATTGGTCAACGACTTCCTGCTCACTGCACTGCAGGGATCTCCCATGTTACAGCAGTGCACGCATCCTCCCTTACGTAGGCTCGTTCTGTCTGACACGTGCTGAAACATGAGGAGAGGAGGGAAAGCAAAGAAGAAAAATAGAATAGCATGAAAAATAATAGGATATCATTCAAAATAAGTCTAATTCAGATATACTCTTAAATATTATTTGTATTGTTAGCTCTTTTTATATGTTTGTGTTTACTTCTGTAACATTAGGTAAACAAATTGGTGTCACAGAATGTAGAACGTGTCTCCATGGGATCGTGGTTGATTTCATGATTGCTTATAACAGTACTATTACCATCCATATAGGCACACACAGACATACACACACATGCTGCATCCATAGGTGACTCAGTCTGCAGTCCTTTACAGTTCACTGCACAGTGTAGGCCTAAACATGTGGTCTGTACATAGGGTGATCAGCCACCAAATAGACTGCATTGTGTTATTTTGACTATTGTAATCTACAGCTGCTATAGTTTAATGTCTCTATTAGCTACATATAAAGGCTGTCCATGCATAATCTTTGATTCTTCTGTATTTCATCCCATGCATGTGGCCAATCCATCGTGGAAAAGGGGCAAAATGCTTCATCATTCCCCACTTCCACGCTGGCATCCTGCCAGTGTCTCTGTCTGTCCTATCTCTGGCTTGTCCTTCATCTCTCTGTCTGCTTGCCTGTTTTTCTCTCTGCTTAATATCATCTTTCATCATCACACCACCCTTGTCATGCATTAGTTTATGAGTAAGATGTGTGAAAAAGTATGTATTCCCTCTGTAGTTACTATGGCAGCCGTGACCAGCCGCTCGTTCAGAATGGAGCCTAGCAGCATAGGATGAGGTGACGTCACGTCGCCAGGACGACCAGGCTTCCCGAGGCACGTGTCTTGTATAAAAGCGGAAGGCGGCACCTAGTATTGCGCACCCAGACTCAAGAAGCATCAGCAGGAGGTAAGCCCAACACCGATTTACCGTAAACTGCACTGTGTAGAAGCCATTATACAGTAAAACAAATGTGACTTGATAGATGACGTTACCAGTATTTGACACTACTCAGCCTTCACTACGGGTTTATATGTTAGTTTATATGTCTGTATACACATGTAGGCCAGTCGTACAGTAAGTAGGTTAACTATGCCGCTTTAAATATACATATGTACCCTTAAATTCATCGAATATTGTCCCGAGACTGAAATTATTAAAAGCTGTAAACGACTTATAGCTCCAGTAGCCACCCTGGAGCCATTACAGTGCATGTTTGAATCGGCCATGTAACCGTTTACAGTGGCGAGAGACAGCCAGGCGAGAGGATGAGAGTGATGTAACATTAGCTTATATCACATTTAATGTTGCATTGGTGAAACAGCCTAGCAGTAAGCACCTTTTATGATGGTCTGCAGGAAGAGAAAAGCGAGGATGATAAATGGATGCGGACATGGCCTTTCAGTCAGGAGAGAGGCTGCTCGTTGTTCTCTCTACTTGAGTTTTTCGTTGCATCATATAGCCAGCACCCACATCCTCTATCTATAAACTCCCAAGAGAATCAAAAGCAATCGTGCCTCATTGTGAAGAAAAGGTACATAATATGGAGCTGTTTCATAACGTTTAATTCATTCATCTGAAGCTGAGCTGTTTTACTGAGTGCGTGACGTGACATTGACAGCGCCTCCCATTGCTGCATCTTTGCGGAAGTGGATTAGTCTCCGTGTTATATAACCTCAATACAAAAATATATATGACCGCGTTTATCACAGAAGAAACATAACAATATTCCATTGAAAATAGCTATGCAGTGAGTTTGAATGTGTTACATGTAAAAGCTGTAATTTGACTGCAGGTACATTTTTGTATTGGGCTGTAATGGACGAAATGTACGGGAGTGTACGTGCATGAAGGGTAAGCTACGTGCTTTCCCCATACTTCATGATGAAACCTGTCGTTCCGCCATTAGATTTCAGAGATGAGTTGTACTTGACGGGAATTACAGATCACAGTGATGCAAGAACCGAAACCGGAAAAAAATGAAATAACCTTGGCTTTATTTAATGTCGAAAGATGAGAGAGGCGTGGTGCAACAGGCTTCAGTGATGGCTGTGAAGGGCACAGGACTGTGGTGTCGCATTATTCTGTCGCAGTTTGACTCGACAGACCTGTTGACGCGGTTCGCAAAGAGGCCTGCACTTTTTAAAGCAGCAATACCATGCCAAACTAATTGCAATCTGTTAAGCCAATCAGCCTTACAGTATAAACTCTTAACTCTTTATTGCCTTATTTAGTATTCAGCATTATTTATAATAGTAAAAATAGTGTACATAATGTATTATTACTGTTGCAATGCCTATTTGCTTGCAGTTACTTCCATACATCCCATGTAGGTGTGGTACATGCAGATGCAGCCATGTCTGGCCTTGTCTCCCTGTTGAAGGTCATCACTGCAGCTGAGAAGGTCACAGCAGGCCCAGTGCTGCAGCAGTGATGCTGACCAGCTGCTAAGCTGTATTCTTTAACTATATATCTACTTGAAATGGTGTTTTCCCCCACTGTACTCGTGGATGGGGAGTAAGGCCTCTTATCTCAGGCTCTGGATGACTGAAGGTCACTCATAACAGGCCCAGAGCTGCCAGGGGAGATGCTAGTATAGTCAAAGCTGTAGAAGTTGCCAAACTGAAGGATCTATTATCATTAGGGATGCACGATATTGGTTTTTTGAAACCGATACCGATAACTTCCTGCTTCTCAAGACCGATACCGATAACCGATAATAATATTATATATATATATTAGGGCTGTCAAGTTAGCGCGTTAATAACGCGTTAACGCAAAAAAAAATAATGCCACTAATTATTTTAACGCGATTAACGCATGTGTATTTTTTTTCCTCGGCCGCCCCGTAGTTTCAGAGCGCATCGAGTTTACAATACCATCTACAAGCTGATGCTGACAGCCCCGCTCCTGCCGCCCGCTTGTGGCAGACCACACTTCCACGCTCACCGGCAGGCACCGACTGGCCATCTGGAGGACCGGGAGGGTGTGTGTATGTGTGGCTCGAGCGAGCGAGAGAGAGACCTTACGTGCATTGTTGTTGTTAGCATCTGGTGCTAGCTAGCTGCGCTAACGGATATAAGGAGCTGTTTAAATGAAAACAGAGGAGCGACATTTCGCCACAACTGTGCCGAGCACTTGACTTTATGCAGGAAGCCAGACAGTGGGGCATTGTACGAAAAGTCAGCACACTCAGCACGGATAGTGCGCAACATGATTGCAGCGTCCAGGCAGCTCCGGTTCGAGCATATGCCTTGAGTTGCACATAGCTCCAACGATCCATCACACACACACACACACACATACACACACACACACATACACACACACACACACACACCATTTGTATTGTATTATTGAATGAGAGAGGTTCCAGGTTGAATTGAGGCGAATATTTGTAATGTTCAGAAGTTGTTGTGTTTAATATTCATGAGAATATTTGTCATTGTTCAAATGATAATAAACATTAGCATAAAGCATATTTGTCCACTCATATGTTGATAAGAGTATTAAAAACTTGAAAAATATTCCTCTAAGGTACATTTAGAACAGATCAAAAATGTGCGATTAACTATGGACAATCATGCGATTAAATATTTTAATCGACTGACAGCCCTAATATATATATATATATATGAAATGTACCTGTAGTTTTTGCACACCTGGTGGTAAAAAAAAGACTAGTAGTGAGCAAATGACATGAGCATTACTACTATGAACAAAACAAAGCCAAGAACAGTTTTGACTCTCGTCAAGCGCCATCATTTCTATGATGAAGTTAGAGATCGTTTTAGCCCTGGGGTCGTCTCCGGCAAACGTCTTGCCTTTTTCAAAAGCCTCGTCGATAGGTAAAAGCCCCGGTGCCTTTGCAGCTGGCTTTGGATTCGCCGCTAGTTTAGCAGCGCAGGCGTCTTCGTACGCTTTTAACACACCATCGTAGCGATGGCGATGTTTCAGGTGACTAATCAGGTTGGAAGTATTATAGCTCGTTGCCTTTTTCCCTCCTCGTGGAACTTCTGCATTTGTTAATACAAATAGCAAGCGAACTATCTAACTCTGAAACTTTGAAATAGTCCCATACTACCGGCGACATGTTTGTTTACTGTCCTGGCTTCACGGCCGCACACCATTTACGTCACAGCCAGGCACGAGTTAGGGAGCGCTGGATTTGTGAAAAACTCCCCTCTTCCTAAACCACTAAAACCACAGTACTGGCAAAACGGGAGGAGCCGAGTGAAAAACAAGCGCCCCTCATCCCAATCCACCCACACCGCAGTCTTTTTTTATTTTTTAACCCAAAAAATATATTGTATATTATCTTGGCTATTAATACTGTTATCGGGATGACGTCATTATTCCTAATATCGGACCGATAATTATCGTGCCCCACTAATTATCATAGTTTCGGGGAAATTGAACAGCAATTTGCCATGCATCAGAATATTTTTTATTTACATAATTTATCATTATAACCCCGTGTATTTAATTTATCAAAAAATAATTTGTATTGCACATGTATAACAATGAGCTTATCATTACATGTTCAAGTATATCAGTGATTACAGTCATGTTATTAAAGAGATATGGACAACCCACATACACACATCGTGATATATGCAAGTATGAGGGTCATGGGGTGTCTATTACATTGGTGATAGTTACGGTCGTGACTCTCAGGTTCTTGGTGTTACAAATCGTTTTTTTGTTGTTCTTCTATTAGATTAATGTCTGCACGTACTACTTATGTTGGACAGAAGCTCCTACTCTTCCTTCTGTACACACTTAAGGGAATGGTTGTATAGATGGGGAAGAATCTCTCATACTCAAACTCCTGAGTCATTAGTTCCTCTTGTGTTGATTATGACTTGTTTTTCACTAGATTAACACACGTTTTCCACATAATGTGATGTGGTTGTTTCAAGGCCAAGGTTAACATGAGTGTTCCTCTCCATTCTGCTCAATGATCAAGCAGCCATCTTGTCCAGGATGTGTGTCAGAGAGAAGGATCTCAAGAGTGACACAGCACTCTGCACCTAACTGTCACACAGGAAAAGGGAAATAAGCCCTCCAGTAGGTAAGGATAGACGTCTGGGACAAAAGCAGCCCTTACTTGTGAAACAAAGCAGTTTTGCATAGCTTTTTTTATACAGATATTGATAGGGCCAGGTGTTTGTACAGCAAGAAGATAGCAAACGCAGCATAACACTATAGAACTGTAGCTTGAGGAAAAGAGGCCAGTCACAGGGTCTGAGCACGAAGGGAATCTGTCATCTGCCTGCTGACAAAAGCTCTTACCGTGTGTGTGAGTGAGTGAGAGTGTCGTCCAGTATCAGTATTACCTCTGCAGAGCGGTCACATGTGTCCCTTCTATTGAATCCTTTGTATTTTGATACGACACACCTTTAACTAATTCATGTACATACATACATGTATCATATCACCTTCTTTATCATCTATTCCTATCTTTGATTATCAAAACGTATTCATTCGTTAAAAGTATTAGCACTGAATATAGTATCGGCTTATCAGGTTATGTTGCCACTGGTGAATTGTCCAATAGAAAGATTGAACTTATTATCTGCCTATTCCTGTCAGCAGGACGCCATGCCTGCTGACACAGCCGACACCCTGGGGTGGTGTGTGTGTGTGTGTGTGTGTGTTTACTTGTGATGTGATGGCATTGGACATTTAACTGACTGGTTAATAGCAGAAAGTGACATTGCCTCAGAGGTGACACTGTAAAAAGGGCAGCAGCAAAAGAAGAAGAGGAAGCAGAGGAAAAGTTTTGAACACAGAAAGATTGAATCGATTCTATTAGAGTGTTTGTATCTAAGAGGCGTAAAGCATGATTTGTGATTCAGTCTGTAATGTATTTCTTTTTTAAATTGCGACCAGAAAGGCGGGCAAGAAGGGAAAAGCTAATTGGATAGTCTGCCTGGCCTTTAGCCAATCAGCACTGCAGTGGAAAAATACTGGAGGACGAGGGTGTGACAGAAGGAGGAAGGTTTTCAAACGCAAAAGACACTGAAAGGAGAGCGGGGGAAGGCAGGGGGAGTGGCAGAGTGGGGAAAGGAAAAGCAAGGGCAGGAGCTCTATCTTTACTCTTAAACTCTTTCAAATGACCCACTCTATACCAAATAAGTAGCCGTGTAAATTGTTTATTTATTTAATCCTCTCAAAACTCAGGTACATATTAGGTTAGACTGGAGTCCACACACTATCCAAAGGCTCTTCAAATACTGTTACATAAAAGAGAAAAGAAGAGGTATTCTTCCCCTTCACATGTCTAATATATTTAGTCTCAGTTTTAGTATTCGACCACCTGATGCAGAATTATTTTTCTGCCCAACTAGTCATGAGTCATCCTTCCCCCAGTGGTCTTTACGGTGGTTACACTCTGTTTGTGTGAGGAAAGTGGGTCGAAGCTCGGACAGGGGGGACGAGGGTTGTGGTGCTAAATGAGGGGGATCAGACAGACAAAGAGTGGCGCGGACAGGAGGGGGTAGGGAGTTGAATTGTAATGATTAGTTTGAGTGGTGTGGGAAAGGGGGGGGGAGGGTTTGATATTCTGAGTGTCAGCTGATTTCAAGCTGCAGCTAACAGCATGTCACTTCATTGCTTTGCATGCACAATACTGCCTCTATGAGCTGAGACATGTCTGTGTGAGTGTGTGCTGAATGCCAGATCAGACTGATTGCTCTGCAGCCAAAAGAGACAAGCCTCCAGTGCTGAAGAAAGTTTACTGCAATTGAAAACATGAATGTTACTCTACATTGAGAAATTGGATGATTTAACAGTGCTGAACCAGGGATTGAACAAAATGTACACTATCAAGTACATTTAGCACAGTTTATACCTAAACTAAATGCAACTTAGCACTACCTTTGGAAGCTGAACAGTGGTGCTACAGTTTCATTCCTTATGTGCATTCATTAAAACTGCGTTGGCAAAGTTGTTTTGGCTTCTCGTATAAATGGGTAAAAGCCAGACACTGTTGCTAGGCATCAGGGGTTGCACACAGATGTATTCAACTCACATTTTCATAGTTTAGCCTTAAACAATTGTACTATTATTCTCTGTACACTGCAAACTAGGGAAGTTGAATTATCCATCAACAGATCTCTCTAATGTGGCCATATTAGTCTTTGTCCAGGCGTTCCCCATGCTTTAGTGAATCAGAATAGCCTTCTCTTTTAAGTAGTATCATTTGTCAGTAGAGCAACCATTTTACATTGGAAAACCCAGGGAACCGGCTCTGTGTAAAGAAAACGGAGAGAACAGAGAGAGGGAGAAAGCCACCAAGTGAGACAAATAGTGAGAAGTGCACAGGGGGGAGGAGAGTTCTGTGAACACACAATAGGACATGGTGGGAAAGACATAGAAATGTGAGAACTGCATGGTAATACTGTATGCACCCTCTTTCTTTTCTCTCTACCTCTCTCTCCTTTGGCGACCTTGTATAATAGATGCTACCAGCAGAGTTCAAAATGGCTGCTCAGCTCTAAACAAAAGGCACATGAGACGAATCAAAAAGCAAGCACATACACTACAAATCACCCTGTTGGAAATCTGACAGTGGAAACGGTGGCAGACAGTTCAATAAATAGATTTGAACTGGCATCAGATTGGCTTAAAATCCCAATTAAGAACAAGTGAATACATTAAAGTAAAATTGCTCCAAGCTTTATGGAGAATTGTTCACATTTGAGAGCGCGTGTGAAAATGAGAGAGAGATTTATCCTAATTTGCTTGTCCATTTTAGTCTATTTCAAGTGCTCCCACAATGCATTTCACCAGATCGACATCCTGTCCTACAGGCTCCCAACTGGGACACACACGACTCACACTCAGTGAGACGCATACACACAACAGATTAGGAGATTACTATAGTCTAAAACGACAACCAACCAAAGTCAAGGGCAATCAGCGTTAACCTCGGTCACTCGACCACTATCTGTTCACCTGTATGAGTAAGTGTTTGGGTACATGTTACAAACTGGTTTATTGACCTTTAATACATCTTAAATGAATTTGTATATTCATTCTAAATTGTGTAATTGTCTTATAACAATAAATAGTAAACATAGCTCAATTTGAATTGTAAATGACCATATTAGTTATCTATGCCAAAAGGTGCAAGTCCCAAGACATGATTTGCGAAGCTAAATAAGATATCAGAGTGTATATCCCTTCGAGCACAAACAGATTCAAAGACAGCAAAGGAGAAGAAGGGGTGGAGTCAGAAGATGAAGGAGGAAAAGGAATTAAAGGAGAAGGGATGCAAGTGGTAGAAAAGTAGAAGGCGCAGACAGAAGAGGCGTTGAGAGGAGAACCGGCAAATGAGTGCACAGCATGAGAAGGAGAGGAATGCTGAGGGTAAAGGAGGTCACATAGTTGAGTCAAAGCCAGGCTTCCTCTGTTCAGTCGGCAAGTCTTTGTTTGTCAAGTTGCGTTCAGTACCTACAATTTCTCTCTCCTTTCATTGTTGTCTAAACATGTCCCTGCATGATGTAAGACGCCCCCACTTTTGTTTGTTGAACATAAAGCAGCCTGTACCGTCACTGGTAACAAACGGTCCCATCCAAGCTGGTATTCTAACTTTGACAGTAGTAACCAGCTCATCTTGACATTATAACTTCAGAAACAAACCCTCATGTATACAATGCAATACAGCTTTATTTATATAGCACTTTAAACCTCCTCTAGGTGTTTTATTCCTCGCTGTAGTGCTAATGCGCCACACCGCGCTTCTACTGTGCTGTGAAACTACTGCTCCCTGCCTGTCTTCATGTTATTGTAGGAGCTGACACCATGCAACACATTTAAAACATAGAAAGTAGCCTAGATGATAATATTTGTTGCACAGAGAATTTTGAAATGCTTTAAGCTACAGCTCATACACAGGCCTGCAGTCGATCAGTCCGCAGGGTTTAATGCAGAGATTTAATTTCACTGCTGTGAACATGTTGGATTGGAATCCTCCATTCCCCCAAATACAGACTTTTAGTGATTTCTGGAGCCTGTCCAGTACGGAGCGCATATTGGACATGGTGACAGCTGCAGTGATTCCTGGCACAGTTCATTCATTAGACTGGATGTGTTGCATGTTTTTTCCATCAATCGGTAGCTGTAGTTCTAATGCCCTTGGTCTCTCTGTTTCTTTCTTGTATCTCTCAGGTATCTCAATCCCTCTAAACAGCAGCAGCCATGTCAGACCTCTGTGTTGGAATCAATGGGTGAGTTTAAAACACACACAAACAGGACTGATTTTGTGATTGTTAGGTTACGATGTCAAGTAAAGCAGACTTTTGTAATAATCAATCAATAATATCATAATAATGGCACAGGAAAAGATGAACTTACTCTGATTAGATGTCACAAAAAAGCCTTGAAGTCAGGTTTTATTGTCAATTTAATCATAGCTTAACATCAGTGGAGCTGTAGGAATACAATAGTGGAAACTCATGATTTCATGTGTTTTTATGGAAGATTCTTGTGAGGTCTGTGACATTCTGACAAAGCATACCACCATTTTTGCAAAACAACTATTATTGATCCCCCTCCCTCCTCTCTCTCCCTGCAGATTTGGCCGTATTGGCCGCCTGGTCCTGAGGGCTTGCCTCCAGAAGGGCATCAAGGTCGTGGCCATCAACGACCCCTTCATTGACCTGCAGTACATGGTGAGAAAGCGTAGATCTACATATTTGCATACAGAAAATTAACAACAATGTATTTAAATATCACAGGAGTATCTTAGAACTAAAACATATACTGTATTTTACTCACTTTTATTAAATGATAACATTGGGTTGAAACACAAGCTTTAATGCTTTAAATGTTTATTTCTGAATGGGTTTGGTTAACAAAATAACAAACCGAAAACTGACTCATAGATTATGTTTTTAATTATACCTGAACTAAACTTGTGTTATCTTCCCGCCTCCAAGGTCTACATGTTCAAGTATGACTCCACCCACGGCCGTTACAATGGTGAGGTCTCCAAAGAGGATGACAAGCTCATCGTCGATGGCCAGGCCATCTCCGTCTTCCAGTGGTAAGTGTGGGTGATGTTTAGTGGTTAGTGGCAAGCAGATTTATTTAATATGATTTAGTGCCAGTTTCACCTTCTGTTATTCAGTATCCTAAATAAAGGCTTTGTGCTGACTCAGCGATCACACATGGGAGCTGGCCCTCCACCCGTGGTGCCGGCTGTTGTTTTAGTCCGTTCAGCAATGGTGCTTCCTCATCTGCAAAATGCAACGCCATCAGAAAGGATAGTTAGAGAGTCCTGATCCTCTGAGCACTGAGCGTCAATTATTATTCAGTTCTCACCAAATAACATACTAAATATGGCAGGATCTGAACCTTAACTGCCTAGGTGTTGAAAAAAACTAAAACGTTTCATCACTGGCATAACATGATCCAAAGAGGCTCTGTAGTGTTTTGGTGTTACTTCCTTTTGTTAACCTTTTTATTTTATTAGTATCGACTCGGAGAAAGAGTGCATACAAGTGTATCAAAGTTTTTCTTCATCCTCCCCCTTCTTAATTTTCCTGATCATCATTTTATATTTCCCTTGACTACAGCATGAAGCCACAAGAAATCCCCTGGGGCAAAGCTGGAGCCAAGTACGTTGTGGAGTCCACCGGAGTCTTCCTCACTGTGGACAAAGCCTCAGTATGTACCCACATGCACACACATAGAAACAGATAACACAGACGGCCTAATGTCTCGGTTTCTAACCTGTGCCCTCTTCCTTCTCCGATCGCAGTCTCACATCCAGGGTGGAGCACAGCGCGTGGTCGTGTCCGCCCCCTCACCCGACGCTCCAATGTTCGTCATGGGAGTCAACGAGGACAAATACGACCCCTCCACCATGACCATCGTCAGGTGTGTTTGGATATGGACCTTTCATTTTTCACAAACATGCTCATAGATTTGGGAGGAGCAATTCCATTACATTTGAGTCCTATACTAAGTGACCTGTCTTTCTGTTGATAGCAATGCCTCCTGCACCACCAACTGCCTGGCCCCCCTGGCCAAAGTCATCCAAGATAACTTTGGCATTGAGGAGGCTCTCATGGTAAGTCGCAGTGTGTCCAAATGTTATACTGTAAGGACTTTAACATAGAAGACCCTGTATTTTAACTCATGAATGTGTGTCAGAGTCACTGATGTTCTGTTTGATGTGACACTCCTCTCTTTAGACTACAGTGCACGCGTACACAGCCACCCAGAAGACCGTGGACGGACCCAGCGCCAAGGCCTGGCGTGATGGCCGCGGTGCCCACCAGAACATCATTCCAGCCTCCACTGGTGCTGCCAAGGCTGTCGGCAAAGTCATCCCCGAACTCAACGGGTAAGGACACACACATCTTGATATTGTTACTTGGCTTAGATGAAAACTTAATTCTGATTGGTCAGTTTGTACATTCAGTGGCCTGCTCACCATCAATAGCAAACTGCTAGGAAGGACACTCAGATCACTTATTGTAAGTCGCTTTGGATAAAAGCGTCAGCTAAATGTACATTTTTGTTTTTTGTTACTCCATCAGAAAAAATACTTTTTGATATAAGCAAATAGCACGCAATGCAATAAAAAGCAGGAAAGAGGTTGAAGACTCATGAAGTAAACACTAAAGGAAACAGCAGAGGAAGACAAACAGGAAGTAAACCCTAAAGGAAACATGGTATGGGCAATGGCATTGTTTAAAGACTGTTTAATGTAAAGGAAACTGTGAACAGTCTTGGACAGTTATGTTGCGGAAACCTCAATCAGTTACATAAAGTTACATTGCTATAGCTGCCGTTCAGTCTTTGGTGCGCAATTGAACAGATACTTTTTTTTAAGTCAGGGTCCTGCTCACATTGTCGGGATACTTTCGCAATAATGACCGGGCCGCTGCATATTATCCCTTCCACTACATGCAGTAAGAAGAGCATGTCTGATATCTCTTTTATGTCCGTCCTCTCTCCAGGAAGCTGACCGGCATGGCCTTCAGGGTGCCCGTGGCTGATGTGTCCGTGGTGGACCTGACATGCCGTCTGACCAAGCCTGCGTCTTACGCCGATATCAAGGCAGCCTGCAAGAAGGCCGCGGAGGGACCCATGAAGGGAATTCTGGGTTACACCGAGGACCAGGTAACACCCAGAGTTACTTCACACACACTGTGAAGCTAATACATGGCTCCCAGAACTACAATTGTGAATTACCGGTAGTAACGATTCAACAAAGAACTTCAGTTCAGTCCACGTTATGTGCATTTGTCCATTTTATTTGGATGCATGGATAAAGATGAACAATTTACAAGATAATTATTATGATTCAATTTGCATAAAAGGTGGAAATGGATGTTTCCTCTGTGACCTCTGATTCACTTTGTAATTTGCAGGTGGTTTCCTCTGACTTCATTGGCGACACCCACTCCTCCATCTTTGATGCTGGTGCCGGTATCTCCCTGAACGACAACTTTGTCAAGCTCATTTCCTGGTATGTTTTCAATTGTCTTGATCAATAGTCTACACAGTTCTATCATTTACAAACCAAACAATTTATTCCTCTTTCTTCTGTCCGCTCCCTCTCTCTCCAGGTATGACAATGAGTTCGGCTACAGCCACCGTGTCGCTGACCTGATGCTGTACATGCACTCCAAGGAGTAAAACTTCCTGGCCAAGAAGGAAGTCAGAAAAGGGACCACCCCCACCATCCTACCACACTTTCCCTTCTCTTTTACACACCCCACCCATAGCAAATTCATAGCATCACAGCCCCTAACTCTACTACATTAAACGTAGGCAGCCGCTACTGTGTGTTGAGTGTTCTGAGTTTATCTGTTTTCCTTTAACGACAATCGGTCGGTGACAGTATTTGTGTCTGTGTGCCCCCTCTGCACCTCCCCCTGCCTCTTTAGATGTGTCCTTATGGCTCACTACTATGGTAACTACTGTATTCATCTCCCTGTTGGTGTGTTTTAAAGACTTCATCACCAGTGGAAGGAGGAAGCTGAGGGGAAGAGCTACTGTAACTCGGCTTAAGAGTAATGAGACAGAAATAAAACTTCAAAAACCTCAAGCTGTCACGTTGTCCTGTTTTTATTGGTATTATCTGTTCACTGTGTCTCATGGAGCCATAACACTGTCATGATGTTGTAAAAGGTCAGACACGTACAAAATATATAATTGAATACATACAAAAATTATATTCACAAGAACTTTAAAACGTTGTGCTTCTTACCTCTAATGAGTATAAAATAATTGTTTTTATTATTGCTAATCAAATTCAAACTTAATTACTTGCTTTTTTATTGTTTTTATCCTTAATTTTCTAATTGTGTTGGCATAAGTTTAATTTGCCCTGTTTTATTTCCACCATGCTACATTTTCCAATAGTTTTGACTACTTATTTAGTATCCAGCTCATGTCATCTGTCAGGGCAGAAAGATCGATAATGTGAAGGAAAGCACTACTGATGATGTTAATATGAATATTATAATATCTATGTATAGGCTGGAGACATTGGAGCAATGAATGGACCTGAAATAAAGAAAGGGGGCATAGTGAAGTAGTATCCTACCTGAAACAGCGTGCTCCCAATATTTATTTTCTGCATTTGAACTGTCACCTGTCAAACTAAGGAAAAAACATGAATAATTGGGTTACATAGTATGTGGAAAGCACAGCAGTTTGCATAGTCATACGTTAAATTACTTCGGGGGGGGGGGGGGCTGTAGCAGGAACCTTCAGAGTCACCTGCTGCCTTTAGTGTACTGCAGCGGGACTCAGCATGAAGGCTGCATCCTTCTATAGAAGAATTGCTGCCCTGTTGTTTTTTTCCTGCTCCGGCCCAGCGCCGTATCTCTATACGGCGATGCTTCCGCCAAGTTACTCGCTATTAAAAGGAAATTACGTGAAAAGCTTAGAACATTTGTATAATGATTTTTGCTGCAGTGCCCCCTGCTGTTTGATTGGGTGCACTAAAATAGGAACAACCCATTCAACAAGGCTGTGGAACTATGGGCATAACAATGACCTGGTAACATACTTTGTTATAGATCATGTTCTAGGAGGAGGAGACAGATGGAGAGAGGTCAGCACAAAGATGAGGTCAACAGCATCTCCTGACTAAAAAGAAATCCGATCATTTGCCTGCTGCCTGATTTCCCCATGCATGCATGCATGGAGACTGGACCGTTTTGAATGTAGAACATTTGAATGTAGCTTTCAGATGAAAACAGAGCTTTCCCCTGCTCCACGCCTGACTGGAGTTGGGTCCACTTTGTTTTTTATCTCTTTGTTTTTTTAATCCTTTTTGTCTTGTCATTTGTTTATTCCAAGGCGACATGCAAAGCAGATAGAAGCCAAACAAACTATGGTACTCTGGTTTATTTGTCACCACTCCAAAATGCCAGTGTTTCCCATACTGTAAATGTGACTTGCTATTGGGTATATTGGATCTAATTACTTATTGTTGTCCCTATTTGCACGGATATTTTGTTTAGGGAAAAATAGAGTAGTCTCTTTGGGATAAAGAAGAAAAAACAATCAGTTGTCTCATGAGGAAATCATGAAGGAAGAATAGGACATAGAAAATATGTTTTTTCCATTTCCCCGAAGCATTGTTAATCATAGTTATCATTCACATTATGTACCTTATGAACACAGAACAAACTAAGATGGACACTAACACACTTAATGTATGTGTGTTACTCATGGGACCTCTTGGCCAATTGATCAATATATTCAGTTTACATTTGACACTAAGTAGTTTCAACAAATGAGAAGTTAAAGTTATTTCTCCTATGATTGTAATAAAATGAAGACCCCCTTTTATGGCCTATATTTATTTCTGCAATAACCATTTAATGAACTCTCTAAATAACAGTTTCAATTGTTTGTATTGATGAGTTTCCCTCTGCTCAAGGAGCCTTTGGCTTATAATCAAAACGCACTTGCTGTTCACATGGAAATCATGGATATCTCCGAATTAACCGAGACGGAATTCGTACACAAAATACAAGCTTCAGGTGATAGAGCTTATTCAGGTCACGGAGAAATTGAGGCATGATCTGTGTAGTCAGATTATCATAGGCAAAGCTGACAATGTGACAACAAGCATTTTGAAATCCTATATGTCTGTTGATTTTCCATTCGTTTTTCTATAGGAGAGGTTATACTGGTCAGCTGGGTGTGGCAGGGTGTGTCTCAGTGGGACTGTGCAGGTATTTAGTGGGTATAAAAGCAGAGGGACAGCTGGCCCTGCTCTCAAACGTACACATCTTTGTAGAGAGGAGCAGTCATGGTGAACAGCCGCTCTGAGCTCACCCTCTCCCTCCTGCTCTTCAGTGCTCATTGCTTGGAGGCGTTCATCATAGAATTGGAAGTCTACTCTCCAGCTCAGAGGATGAACTGGTCAGAGGCCAGACTGTACTGCCAGAGGAACCACGTTGACTTAGCTGCTGGGAACATAGTGGATATTTCGGGCCTGAATGTTTTTTTTTTGTTGAACGTCAGTCAAGTCTGGATGGGTCTACGCAGAGTCCCTCTGAACGACTCAGCGTGGAGGTGGATTGATCCAAAGTGAGTATTCTGATGAAAATATCATGTAATATTGAGGAGATAAATTGTAGTTGCTGAGCGAGACATTATTCATGTATTTTCAGAGGTGGAGAGGGGGTCTCAGGAGGAGACTTCTCACAGAGGGTCCTCTGGGCCGATGAAGAGCAGAGCGACCACTGTGCACTTGTGGATGCAGATTTAAAGTGGCACAGTGTGAGATGTTCAAGTACACATCCATTCTTCTGTACAGAAGTGAACGAGATTAAATATCATTACCAAAGAAAAGACTGGTACGCGGCTTCTGATTGCTGCAGTGATCAAAGTGACAGTTACCTGGCCACCATCACCATGGATAACACAGGCAAATTGAAGTTTGCTGGCTGGATCGGGCTGCACCGAAAAGCTGGTGAGACCTGGAGCTGGATCGGGGATCAGCAGTCTGACTTCAGAAACTGGGCCCAAGGAGAGCCCCGCTACGCCGACTGTGGCTCTTTTGATCCTGTAAATCAAAAGTTTTACAGCAAAGCATGCTCCACAGAGCTTCCTTTTCTCTGCTATGATGACAACCTTGTGGTGGTGAACGAGAACAAGACATGGGAGGACGCCCTGAAGCACTGCAGGAAAATGGAGAGCCCATGTGAGGACGAACCGAGCCCCTGCATCTACAAACACGACCTCCTGAGCCTGGAAGTCCTGGCTGACTACAACTACGTCAGAGATAGGATCTACAAAGCCACCACTGATGAGGTTTGGGAGTAGGTGGTGGGCTTTCGATGCTGGCTTGTGACCATTTAGAGTGAAGCAATGTCCACCATGTATACCCGGTTCAAGTGCTCGCAATATACAACCTGTCATAAAAGAGGGATGATTTTCCCCTATGTAATAGTTTATTTCAAAAATGTTAAGACCTCTGGAAATAAAAATATCAAATATTTCTAGAAACAACATGTATTTGTATTAACTCACAGCCCCCCAGATGTTCTTGCAGTTCCTTAATAGTCTGACTTATGAAAGACAGATTCATCATGAATAGGATATTAAGAACTTTTTTTTATTTCAAAGTTTTCAATGTTAATGTTTAATAATTATAGCGACAGCAGGAAACAAACAAAGTCGCTGAGAGGATGAGGCCGGGCCTGTTTGATGTTGTATGACATGCTAAAAAAGTACTTGCTGAGATCAAAAGCTCTGTTTTGTAGTATTGTAGTTTAATGACAAAAAACTCGGTGATCAGACATATACATTGTTATAATAATTAAGCAATCGTAAATCTTGCGGTCAACAAAAAAGTACAATGGCCCTGTGTCACCCTCTCTTCCACACACCTCACACAGGTGATCAGGATTATAATGAGTGCCGCCCATATCCATGTGACCCAAGCCAACCAATCAATAGTGATCAAACAAATATCTTATATTAAAACATAAAGGATTACTAAACACGTTTCATGGCTCCTACAATAATTGAAGGACAGAATAAAGAGTTGATTCATTAATTGGCTTATTTATTGTTCTACCTTTTGAGATATCATTTAAATGCAAATGTATTCACTGTGATAATGGCTCTTTTATAAACACAGGTGTATTGTTACTAAGTAATATAAAATAAATGCAGGGGTGCCTTAGTCCTGTTTTTTTATGGTGGTTACCTTTTGCTAAAAAATAAACTAACCTTTAGCTTGTTTTTTAAAACTGTATCTTCAGCTTTCAAGGTCAGTTCATTGAGTTACGAGAATATCATTTTTGGGGTTTTTCCATGAATTAACATTGACAACCTTATTGTTTCTAAGCTTAATAAAACTACAGCTTCATCGCCAGGCAAGTGTAATGTGAATGAAAGAGTGAGCAGTTACAGATAAAACCATTTTAAAAGGGGGAGTCACTCTCAAGGCCTGTCTTATGTTTCTCAGGTTTGGACGAGCCTGCACTTCCTGGGAGGGGAGTGGCGGTGGTCCAACGGACAGCAGCTGGAGGACCAGAGTCAGACCATGCTGCCGGACTGTCCGTCCCAGTGGAAACACTGTGGAACCCTGTCCAAACATGACACCAACCACTGGATCACCAGGAACTGCTTGGAGAGAAGAAACTTCATCTGCTACAGATATAAAACTGTCAGTAATCAGACAGACTATCTTGGGGTTTGAGAGCTTTTCGGTGCTTCATTTCTGCCTGTTTTGTTTTTATGTTAACACACTGAGCTCTATATATTAAAGGGTTTGATCAGATAATTAGAATTAGACTAACCTGGTTTATTTTTGCCAGTGAGTTAGAAAGAATATTGGCATACAGTGGGAATGAAAAATGTAAAACAAAAAGTAATTTTTTTTGTTTTTTCTGATGGTTTCACAATATTAGGCTTGTTTGATCTGTAGCAATCCCAACGGACAACGCATATCATGGACATCTGAATACTCCTTGTTTAGACTTTCATCATTACCATGAAATCAAACCTTGATTCAGCTTAATCCCATTAGTAGGTCCATAAATGTGGCAAATAAAACATGGTCTATCTACTCATGTATCTTTTTTTCCCCTTTTTTTGTATTGAAAAGTAAAGCTATACATATCACAGAGTTCATAACAAAATAAAATAAAAAAGTTATCATCAGATATTACAACAACCGAATCCGTGTATCTACCGTCCAATTGTTTTTCTTTATTAAACACGTAAACGGAAGACCGTCTGAGAGGCGTTTTTGCTTTTTGCTTTTTACGTTTTTACCTTACCAAATGGTGAAATGTTCCTTGGAGCGAGGGGCGGGGCCAAACTCACGGAAGTGATTTCAAAACAAAAGCACTCGTTTGCTAAAATCACACTTGTAATCACTCCAGTATCCTGCTGAAGGAACGGTGGTTATTATAAACAAGGGGAATGTAGCGATCACAACGAAAACGGCCAAGACACATATGGATCCCAGAAAATGGATGTTATTAAGGGCTGTAAATATAATAAGCCTATGTCTAAAATGGACAACATTGTTAGGAGATTTAAACTATACAGCGGTTCTGCACTGCGGTCACTCCGCCGCCTATCGAGTTTGTTTTTTCAAATCAGCTGCTCTTCATTATTCCTGCTATAGGCTATTTGACGAGTGATACAAATATTTGTTACCACAAGTTCTTAAGGAAACTGACACTGTTGGACTCGGTTCTAGTTTGACTTCTACCAGAAATAAAATAAAGTAGCCTACTTACTGTGTACTTTTCCAATAATCCTCTGTCAATGTCCCCTCCTGAGTACAAGAATGCATGTTTCTCTGCTATTTTGAATAAGCGTTTCTTCATGAGACTGATATTGTTGGACAGAGTATTTTAAGAGGATATGGTAGACTTGATATCAGCAATACTTCCAGTCAGTACTCCGGCAGCAGCATTTTTACCCCTTGGAAAGTCTAGAGACTGGCCTGGATAGCTGGTCTATCCTTCAGCACACTGACACACTCTGTCACTCTTGTTGGCCTCTTATGAAGCTGCTGTCTTTTAAGTTTTAACATATGATTATTTCTCTGCTCCTAGTTCATTCCTCGCAGATTCTTCCATCAGTCCCAGTCATTGCATGTCAGTCAATAGAGCTTCGAAAAATGTGTCCAATTCAACTAAATGTTCTTTTGTGAGCAGAGACGTGCACACATAGACTATAGGTAGTGCTTGAGCACCTGCCCGTTTTGCCCTCAGGACAGCAATGTGCCCTTTTGAAAGTTCGTTTTTTACAGTTTTTTATTTAATTTTTGTACAGTGTACTGTATGTGGCTCATGGTAACATCGATCAATTCTGGATTAAAAGCTTCTAATATATACAACAATGCCCCAAATGCGCGATGTAATTTTGTCAGACATCCCCACACGTGCCCCGCGGCACTCCCGTACGTGCTCTGGCTGCAGCCCCTCCCTTCCCTGCTCTCAACGTGAACGCGCAGCGCGCAGAGCTGACAGTCACTCAGTCAGACAGGCCACGGCGGGTGTGTGGTGCAGCAGCACGCAGCAACACGATTAAAAGTGCCCTAGTGACGACCAAGTAAGTAACCACCAGCAGTGGCGACTGGTCATTAGGGGCAGGTGGGGCACAGCCCCACCTAGTGTCAGCAGAAAGTATTAAAAGTAATGATTACAAAAAAATGCAAAAAATAAATTAAAAAATATATAAAATATATTTTAAGATCATGTTTAATCATCTGATTCGTCTGTACATTGCTGTTTTAGTCTGTGTTCTTCTAATTAGTGTCTACAGTGTGTGCCTATTGAGCTGTTTAGAGCCATGTGGGACAAAACCCGATCCTGCCCCTCCCTCTCCCTGTTTAAGTCAATGGTGACTGTAAAAACTACACTGCGCATGCTCAGAGTATTGTCCTATTTAATGTGTGTGGCAAAAAAATAATGACCATAGGGGCATAGTGCTGCCATCCCCACCATACGTCATCTCACATAATTCAGAGCTGATTGGCTGTAAGTACGTGTGCCGCGAAAAGTGTGGTGTGTGAAGAGGAGACGAGAGAGCTGCAGTGAGGCGTCCTAAAACCCGGAAATAAACTGCGCATGGCTTCCCTCCACAAAAAAGCAATGATATTTCTCCATAGGATTTTAGAAAATAGCTCAAAATAAGATCTGTGGGAAACAAACCTGTTAGATAAATGCACGTTTTGTTCAGCCGGATAATATCCACATGTCTACCCTACTTTTATAATTTTCGAATCATAAATCTATTGATTAGATCAGATTTATGATAGACTTTTGAAACTACAAGAACATAAGGAGGACTTTTACAAAAAAGTAATAGAGATTTTTGTCCAGAAGGATAGGCAAATGGACTTCATCTTCATGTCAAGGTAAGACTGCAATTTTATTGAAAATGGGATCTTACTAAGAGAGAACAATTCAATATTTAAATGATAAAATTACATTTTTTGGGTATCCTTTTGTTGAACTGTCTGTTTAAAATTAATTGAAGCATCAGACAAAAAAAGCTTTTGAAAATAATATTATATTTTGATTTAGGTCAAAATATAATATTTGTAAACCTGAAGAGTCAGATCCTCACCAGCCATGAACCTCAGAAGCTTATATATAGACATCTAAGTTGTGTGTGCCCCACCACTTTTGTACATATAAAAACGCCACTGACCACCAGGTAACAAATACGAGACAACGAGTGTATTGTTTAGTCCCCTAAATCAGATGCCAAACTAAACTATAACTTTACTTATTTTCTTGCATCCATCCATTTAGTCTCGTTGTGCACTTTTGAAAATAGCAGATCTACACGCTCACAATGCGTCATTATGCTAGGGCTGAAGTGATTAAATGTATGTTTTGTAATAATCTTAATCAAAATCTACATAGTAACTAGTAACTAAAGTTTTCAAATAATTGTAGTGGAGTAAAAGTAGAATATTTGCATCTGAGATGTAGTGGAGTAGAAGTAAATGTATTGAAAATGGGAAATACTCAAGTAAAGTAAAAATGCCTCATAAAGTACAATATAAATAGTAGTAACCTTATAGGTTTACATTAATGCTGCTGTTAAATGTTTCTAGGAGATTAACCCTTAATTATCATGCACAGCAGAGCAGTACATTGATTTAGCTAATTTGCATGTACCACTTGTAGAATAATGCCAAGAAGAGACAGGATAAGAAAAGAAAAGAGAGCTAGCAGGCAGCCCGGGGAAGCAGCTCTCTGCTCTCCTGGGTAAAGCAGCCTGAGCCTACCAGCAAGGAAGTTGAGGATGCAGATGTGCCTGATGAACCCTTACCCATCATCAATGATGAAGATGAAGAAGAAAGGTCAGAGTCAATACCAGAGTCATGTTAAGGGACACACTGTCTGTCTAGAGCCCTTTCATGCTCAGATTTGAACTGTGATAATAATAGTAGTAATAATAATAATAATAATAATAAATAATAATATAATTGTATTGAGAGGCCCACAATTTATTTTAACCACACTAAGTGATACTAAATCAGACATGAAGCTACTTACCAAATGACAAAAAAACAACAACTATGTGGTAGGGTGTTGCATTTTGGCCATGACAGTTAAAGTCTGGTGAGTCTTAATGTTATCATGCATTGCATTGCCTTACCCAAATAATTGAAATAAACATCATATTCTATATTGTTTGTATTCTAGGCAGCTACAGGAGGCTCAGGGAAGCAGCCCCCTGCTGTCCTGCAATAGTCCATCTAAGATGAGGGAGACAAATCCATAGAAAATATCTCTGAGTCAGACACAGATGAAGCAGAAATGTCAGAGTCCAGAGCAGCACCATGTTCAGAAACAGTGCTCTCTGATGATGACCAAAATGAGGGAGAGATGGAAGGAGTAACCAAAAACCGAAAATAAACTAACAAAATCCACCCTTTTTTTTCTCTTGAGCACCTGCCCCTATAAATGTCTGTGCACGCCACTGTTTGTGAGTGAAGGCCAGAGCTAAATTATAGATTGTCTGATTGTGTAATTACAAGGTGAGAGAAAATAAATCCACATCCTCCTATGAAACGTATTTTATTTACTTTTCCATGTTATACTTACTTGCATTAGAACATTTGCATTTTTAACTACATGCTGGATATCGTCCCCAGCCTCAAGGAAATACAATAAAATAAATGGATTCATAATTTTTAAAAATTGATAAAAATGTATAAATTAATAATGTTGTGTGCAAACATTTCAAATTTAAATATAAAATGACATTTTTTTTACTTTTGAAATGATTTATCACAAAAACCTTTCGAAATGATAGTAAATTATTAAAAAAGGTTTGGTCAATATGCGTTTTTCTGCCTAAAATAGTTTAAATTGAACGTAAACTATATCAAACACCACATGCATGGCAATTAACCCATTTGTGCCCGCTATTTAAATTGACTTTGGTTAGTTAATACAAATATTGATATTATATATATATATAGCATATAATTGATGCAGTCTTTCTGAACACTTTTTTAAAAAAATACTGCAAATTAAGAATATTTTTAAATGTTCTGCACAGAGAGTGCCCTAACTTACAGCAGTTGAAAAGATTTGTGGAAGGATACATTCTTCATGGGCTTCAATGGCTCTCTAGTAAAGGGTGTTTTATGGTTGCTTGTGTTATCCTCAGATGGTGGTTTGTTTAAATAACTAGTGACATTTTAATAAATATTGCAAAAAAGGGCTCCAAAAAAGGTATAATAACCTGGCCGGCTTAGCCAGTGTGTATTTCTTCAAGCACCACAAGATTCATAGTTTATAAAGTACAATTCTGGGCCATTGATTGTGCCATTTCTCCAAACACATACAGTAAAAATGCCTGTTTTGAAGCCTTAAAATGGTGCAGGAAAAGGACTTTACATTGTTATACTTAAAGACAGGGCTATTCAGTTAAGAGAAAAGAAAAAGGAAAGAAAACTGTTATAATGGGTGATGTAACATTAATGACATACATAATATGAGGTCCTTGGCACTCAGACTCTAGAGGGGTCATGTTGTGATCATGGGGCATCACCCTTACAGCATCAGGACAATATCATATGGAGTCAGACACTGGAAGTGTGCTGGAGGCGTTGACTGGGACTGATGGAAGGATGAGGCTGATGAGACTGAAGAATCTTCCAGGAACGAACTAGCGACTGAGAAATAATCGTATATTTTAAAAGACAGCAGCTTCATAAGAGGCCAACAAGAGTGACAGAGTGTGTCAGTGTGCTGAAGGATAGACCAGCTATCCAGGCCAGACTCTAAAGACTTTCCAAGGTGTAAAATGCTGCTGCCGGAGTACTGACGAAGTATTGCTGATATCATGTCCACCATCCTCTTAAAATACTCTGCCCAACAATATCAGTCTCATGAAGAAAGGTTTTTTAACGCGTATTCAAAATAGCAGAGAAACATGCATTCTTGTTCTCAGGAGGGGACATTGACAGAGGAGTACTGGAAAAGTACACAGTAAGTACTTCATAGTACTTGTGGGGGTAGTTTCACTACTGAGTCCAACAGGATCAATCTCACGAAGAACTAATGGAAACAAAAAAGAATTCCCTCATCAAACTTAGCAGAAGTGGCTTGATTTTGTTCTCAGCAGGGGACTTGACAGAGTATTTCTCAAAAAATACACAGTAAAAGTACTTCAATGTATTGTAAGTATAGGCTAACTACTGTAATTCAAAGTCAAACAGTATCAATTTCATTAAGAACTAATGGTAAAATTATATTTTTATCATTCATCAAATATAGCAGAAAAACATGCATTATATAGCCTACTAAGGAGGGGACTTTGACAGAGGATTACTCACAAAGTACTAATAATAATAATAATAATTTTATTTCTGGTAGAAATCAAACTAGAACCGAGTCCAACAGTGTCAGTTTCCTTAAGAACTTGTGGTAACAAATATTTGTATCACTCGTCAAATATAGCAGGAATAATGAAGAGCAGCTGATTTGAAAAAACAAACTCGAGAGACGGCTGAGTGACCGCAGTGCAGAACCGCTGTTAGTTTAAATCTCCTAACAATGTTGTCCATTTTAGACATAGGCTTATTATATTTACAGCCCTTAATAACATCCATTTTCTGGGCTCAATGTGTGTCTTGGCCGTTTTCGTTGTGATCGCTAAATTCCCCTTGTTTATAATAATCACCGGTCCTTCAGCAGGACTGGAGTGATTCAAAGTGTGATTTTAGAAAACGAGTGCTTTTGTTTTGAAATCACTTCCGTGAGTTTCGCCCCGCCCCTCGCTCCAATGACCATTTGACCATTTAGTAAGGTAAAAAGCAAAAACGCCTCTGAGACGCTCTTCCGTTTGCGTGTCTAATAAAGAAAAACAATTGGACGGTCGATATACACGGATTAAATACACACAGTTATGTTCGTTCACACATGCATTTTTGTTGCACAGAAACAAATGCAGACATGTGCATGTGTGCCGCCCATCACTTCCAACATCACTCAAAAAACACACAGAGTAAGGATTTAAAATGTTTAACTATTTGTATTAATATTACAATTTATATTTTTTATATAAACTCAATACTTAATGCAATATTGTCTGTTACACTCAAATGAACGCATTACATGTGAACTATGGTTCCTATCTGTGACGTAGTCGGAGGCATTTCGAGGCTGAGCCAAACGCACTTCCGGTTGTCATTCAACGAGCCAGCACTGTGCATCACCCCGGCTCTAACACAGTAAGTACAGGACGGGTTTCCCTTACAGTTGCTGAATTAAACAGTTACATAACACCTTAATGAAGACTCGCTTAATGTGAGACTGCACATACAAAATAACCCTGGAGACGGGTTCTGTAAATACAGCAGCAGCGCGTGTAGCGGTGCGCAGGCACGGGATTGTAGTTAAGCTAACATTAGCTAATGTGCAGTTTATTCATTTCCGTAAACACTTTTTACAATAAATAGTTTAGCTATGTAAATGTCTTGAAAAAGATAACTGCCGATCATTTCACTTGGCGGTAGCAGCCTTGTTATTGCTTTACAAATGCTGTACATTATCCCGTTTGCCTGTTCGTATAATGTGAGCTAGCTCCAGTGTGAACTGTACAGCAGGATGTGTAGGCTGTTAATGACTGTCGCATAAAGGTCAGCAAGTAGACATACATATGCCAAATCAGGAATAAAAAACTTTTGCAATAAAATACTTCTAAATATGAATATAGATAAGTGTCGTACAAGTGTAGAAACAAATTAATTACAGAAATTAAGAAACGCCAATACTCATTTAATTACGTACGTCTCTGGTTTAATTAAGCTCATCAAATGCTAGCTTCTTCCCTGTGTTTTATGAAATAATACCTACATTAATATATTATTAAAATAAATATATTTTGGTTTTGGGTGATAGTCAGAAAGAAGACATTTGATACCTTGACAACTTTTGTTGGGTACGTTTCAATATTTTGTGAAAATAAAAAATATGTGTTTGTGTGTGTTCCAAAGCCCTTAACAACTCCTGACCTGCTGAGTGGACTCTCTGTGAACTCCTCTTCTTCTTTATTTCTTCAGGGGGCTGAATTCTGTGACCAGACACCATGACGCTGTTTCACTTCGGGAACTGCTTTGCCCTGGCCTATTTCCCTTACTTTATAACATACAAGTGCAGTGGCCTGTAAGTGCTTACTATTAATACACCGTTTTTGGCATTGTTTTTCAATGTTCCTGTGTTGTAGCAACATGCTCTGCGACTAAGAAGTCTGTTAATAATCTGCTTAGTAATGTGTGGGGTTTGGGAGGGGGTCAACATAATCTTCTTAGAACTGTGTAGTGTGCTCTTGGATTGATTTGGCAGTACCTCTGCCTTACCACACATTTGAGTTTTTTAACAATTATTGCTATCAAGTCTTAAAAAATGGCCTCCTATTTGTGATTTATCCATGTCTTTCTGCCCCCTTATTTTACAGTCCGGACTGTCATTTAACTCTTTCTCTTTGTGTTTTCAATCTTTAGTTCAGAGTACAATGCCTTCTGGAGATGTGTCCAGGCTGGAGCAACGTACTTGTTTGTCCAACTTTGTAAAGTGAGTTGGCTTTCTGGGGATTAAATAATATTCCATTGTGAAATTGGGCAGGGGAGTTTGCAGGAAAAAGCTTGAGTTTCGGAGTGTGTAAACGGGTTAATATGTTTGTGTTGCAGATGCTGTTCCTCGCTACATTTTTCCCCACATGGGAAGGAGGAGCTGGAGTTTATGATTTCGTAGGGGTGAGTGTTCCTTCCTGTCAGATTCCTTTCAACTATTTTAATGAAAATACAAAGAAAACCAGTGTCTTAATATCTTGTGAAGGATTTTATAATGATTGTATTTACTTAAAATTAAATGTGTTTTAGGTTGACTTTTAAAATCTGTCCAGGGACTATAGTTGAAAAATAGCCTCTTGGCTAACTATGGCACATTTACAGCAATGTTAATTAATGTGCACTGTCCCTGTTAAATAAATAAATGTTCTTTTAGGAATTCATGAAGTCGACAGTGGACATGGCAGACCTGTTGGGTCTCCATCTGGTGATGTCCCGTAATGCTGGCAAAGGAGAGTACAAGATCATGGTGGCGGCCATGGGCTGGGCGACAGCGGAACTTGTGATGTCCAGGTAAGCTGCGACGCTGCGCCTGAAGAAGAAACATTAGCGTTCTTAAATTACTATTGATATAAAAATTATGAATCTTACCCTTTGTGTTGTGTTATGAATCTTCAGGTGTCTTCCTCTGTGGGTGGGAGCCAGAGGGATTGAGTTTGACTGGAAGTACATCCAGATGAGCTTTGACTCTAACATTAGTTTGGTGAGTAGCCATCCTATTCTTGTTTTTCACTACTCCACTCTGTCTGCTGCTGTATTTTTTAAATTGTCACTTTATCTGTTGTTTTTAATGTCAGCCTTTCCCCCCCTCTTCCTTCCATCTCTATCCTCCATCGTGTTTTTTGTTTTTGTTTCTCGATGCAATGTTTTTAATCTTTTTTTCAAACCCTCCTATCTTGTTAATTGAAAATGTCACCACCAAGTCTGTTGCTATATCTGATTTTAACTACACAATTATTGTGGCCAATACAATTCAATCATACTACCGCGATATGTAAAGAAAATAAAAAACAGAAATATGAGGATCACTCTAATTCATGTTCAACTTTTTCCTCTAAAATGTTAGAATTTCTGGATATCTCAAGAAAAAGACACGAGACAGGAGCTTACGATTTTGTTAGTGTTTAATTGCAACAAAACCATCGAATACAATCCTATTTAGTTTATTAGCATAAACATCGTTCAAATAAAAATGTTCAGTCGTTTTAATTATGTATCATAAACTGCTTAGTTAGTGTTAGGAGGTTAAACAGTGTCAGTGACTTTTTTAATTAATTCCTCAAATAAATGTTTACAGACTAGCTTTTATGTGCTTTTTTAAGGCGTTTACTCCTTTTCTTTATACATTTATATTTATTGCTGCGCTTTTTATTGTTTAACTTGTTTACTAATTTAATTTTTCATAATAATTTTTCTTCTTCCCACTATGCTTATGCTGTTGCTGTTAATTTGCCTCCTGGGTATCTGTCCAACAAATGTAACATGTTTTTATTTTTATGTTTTTCTAGGTCCATTATATCGCCATGGCAGCAGTGGTGTGGATGTTCACACGGTACGACCTCCCTAAGAGCTTCAGGCTTCCTGTTACTGTGCTGCTGGCTCTGTGTGTCTACAAGGCCTTCCTCATGGAGTAAGTCTGACACACTCATACACAAACTTCAGACATGCACACCCCCAGACACACCACCTACCACCTGATCTAGCTTTAGACAAGAACGCACATTTCCAAAAAGGACAAGTATTTGTTTGAGGGAAAAGTCGGTCTGCTTTGTTTTTGCAACCACAGGAGGGCACTATATAACAGCAAGAATACTAACTCCAATTTACAATTCAAGTGCAAGTCAGAAAAACAAACTTGCAGGTCAAATGAACGACATAAAAGTTGCATCACTTGACAAACCTAAAATATCTTTGAAATCTCTTTCCCTGAAGTATAGAGAGTTGTGCAGTGGTGTGATCTCATTTTAAATGTGAGAAGAGATGGTACTGGACCCCGGGTCAGTTGGGTGGACGTTTTGTCTATTGCAGAGATTACACTTTAATCGTGTGCGCCGTGTTGGAGTCCAGAACAAACTGTCCTATGTGTTAGGGAAATAATTGTCCTAGACTCCTAGATATGACGTACATGACCAACCCTGACGTCTGTTTATTTCCTTTAAGGACATAGGCTGCTTCAGCCATAATGTTATTGTTCCCATTCTGTGACCGGGCAACACTAGGTCACAGATGGTCTGTTGTTGTGGATGCACTGGGACACTTCCTTCTTTGTTGTTTGTGGACTCCAAGGTATGACATCTTCGAGGCCATAAGTGACGGACGCAGGTGACTCAGTGTGCCCAACTGTTTAAGCTATCTTATCAAAATATGTTGATTACTCTCTGTGAAACCAGTTAAATGGGCTAACGAGAGAGAGGCGCTCCAGAATTGACGTGGCAACCCACCCGTGCAGTCTCACCGTGACTGCTGTGACTTGTGATGTGAATCTCTCCGGCCGAAACTCCAAATAAATCATCAGTGTTTGACATCGAAGCTCCTGCTCTACCGTGTCTCCTTCCTGAGTCAGTGACTCCCACTGCATTGCTACACCGAAGTTTCCCTTACACTATGGAAATACATGTATATTGAATTGTAACTAACTAGTACGTGATTTACAGATTTACTGTTTATAGAACATGTTGCTCATAAAAAAATCCTCCAAAATGTGTTAATGTTTTGCAAGTGGTTAAGAGACCAACGGGAGGACCAGCAGATCATTTTATTACATTTGGGTTTTCAGTATTAGTGGCTGAAGTAAACCATAGTTTGTACAAACAATACATGCATTTTAACTTTGCGTTTGTACTTGCACTTTGTTTATCTTACGGATGGTTGCAGTAATGCACTGCTGTCCTTTTGTTCCTTCCCATTTTAACTTACTTTGTGTTTCTCTCCCTCTTCAGGCTGTTTGTCAACATCTTCCTGCTGGGCAGTTGGACCGTGTTGTTGGTGAAAGCCGTGCTGACGGGGGCCATCTCTCTCTGCTCTCTGTTTCTCTTTGTCACTCTGGTCCATAGCAACTAAGTCAAACCCAGTACCCCGGGATAAGCCTTCAACGGTCTTTTGGGTCCAGACTGGACCCCAGTTGTCATAACCTAGAAGCTCCTGAGGCCTTTTGTTTTCAGTCAATGTATCACCATACAACACCAAAGACTACTGAAAAATGCTTGTTGATAATGGGTTGCTGAACTGGTCTTGGGTACAATTCTGGCTAAGCTACCCTACTGGAAAGCTAACCAGTTCTTCAAGATGTTTAGTCGTCAGTCAGTAAAGACCTGTGATGGGAAACTGAAGCTTTGCTTGCTTTCAGTCCAACCAGTACACACTGCTGGTTGAGTGATGACATCAGAGAGCTTCTGTCACATGATTGGCTTTCCATTGCTGTGTTGATTTTGTTACACAGGGGCATTTTGTACCAGGAAGACCACAAATGAATTTATATAACATTTCTTTTTTATGTGTTGTCGAATGAGCCATCTTAGATTAAATAGTCAAGTGAATTTATAAGAAACGAATGACAGTGATAGTTCCTCGCGTGGCCACCAATTTATGAATTTATTTATATATTACTTGTATTACAAGTAAATATTATGTAGTAGTTCAAACGTAACTAGCAAGATTTTTTCTAATTCTTAAAGAAATTGATTTCTGTATTTATAGTTTAACAAAAAAATAAACAGTCCTGCAGTTTGAGTGAACTCAGCATTATGATCACATTTTGTTGAATTGTGAGTATCTGTGATTTTGACATTTAAGTAATAAATGTCTTTTTGTCTTATCTCTGCTCTCTGAGTCTTCATTGTCAATACTGTCCAATGGCTGTCATGAGTGACTGTCATATTTAAGAATGAGTTCACAGAGGCCCTACAAGCTCACATTCCAGTTTTATAATTGTATTTTGTTCTGTGACATGTCTCCATGCTTTAATGTTCAAAAAGCTTTTTCTCATCCTGCCTGTGCTGCAGCACCTCTTTTCACCCTCTGTCTGAACCTAGAGCCCAGTCTGCTCTGATTGGTTAGCTGTCTGACTCTCTTGTGATTGGTCAACCACTTAGAGATGTCCTTCCCCTTATATTAGCCTATCGCGTCCAAAGTGTTGGAGCGCTAGCCAATAGAAGCTACATTGTTACATAGGGATGTCACTCATTGTGAATAGTCCCTGTTGTCCTACATTTTTGGATGTATTTTACTTCTGCATATTTTAGAGCTTGTGCTATTTTTAACACCTTTTACATCGTAGCTCATCTTATTCTAAAAGATGATTAAAAATGTGCAGCCTCGCTCTCATGTAAGAACCAAATATCTCTAAAAAGTCAATTTATTTTTCTCAGAAATATCGGTACATCTTCTCGCAGCTTCAAACAGGTTTTTAAAGTAGAATATGTTTTTTTAACCCTTAAAAGGTACACTTAATCAATTCATCAGAAAGAAGTCAAAATCATCAAATTTCGACATGAATCGTTTTGACTGGATAGAAAAATATGTGAACAAATGTGTAGTATAAAAAGTAACTGCTGTCAGACAAATGTGGAGTAAAATGTACGATAGCAGCATTATTTGGATTAGAAGTATAACCTTTATGAAATAGAAATACTCAAGTAATGTTCAAATACCTTAAATATGTGCTTTAATGCAGATCTTGAGTAATGTACTAAGTCATATTCCACCACTGGTGCTCATAAGAAAGTACAGATTACAATGTCCATAAAAAAACGTTGCAGAACTCTAAAACCATTAATACCATTGGGTTTTGTGATAAATCTAAATATGAACCTTCAATCCAATGTAACACTGCCTTTCCAATGAGTCACTGCAGCAGCCCAGTGTAAGTTTGCCATTTACTGTTGGATGGTTATAAAAGTTCTCCCTCTGTTCTCACACCTCTGCGATTACATTTGACAAAGAGAAAAAGAGTCTTGAATCGGTGGACTGCTGGAAAAGAGATCAACCTCCACACACCTGAATGGATGGTCCTTCTGATGGAGGGAGGGAATACAAAAACTCTTTTAGAAATTAAGAAATAGGAGAAGAAGACATTATTTAACGTGAAAGCCTTGGTTAGGATACAACTTTGAGTGTTACCAGAGGGAGATGAAGAACAAAATCACAGACAATGTTTTCTTTACCTGACTAAACCATAATTCCAGACAAAGATCATGTTACAGACAAGGAATGTTCTTTGTGTACAGTGTTGATGAGATGGAACAGTGCCAAATTGTGCGAGCTATAGAAAAAAAGTTAATTTTGAACTTCTTGAACACATATGTTGTGTAGTCAAAGATAGAAGTTGTTCATTTTTTTTCTGACAACTTCTGTCCAAGTGTTCTGTCCAATGAGCTTCAATACATTTGAAATAAATAGTGAGTGGAATTTATTTAAAATAAATGACAGAGAAAGTTACTTGTGTACTAACTCTACAGTGAACACAAAAATGGACAAACATGGCTGAAACATTGAAGCTTTGGGAGTTTGGTTGACTTTTGCAAATTATTATTCTGATGTTAGTTGGTAGTAAGCTTTTTTTTTTTAAATAAGGGATGTATTGATCAAATGCTGCCCCTATTTGAATGAAGCACGTAGTCCTGTTGTACACTTTTATAAATGAACAAGGATTTTGCTCCAACACACCTCCTCCGTTGTCACTTCGGGTTTTCCCCTTTCACTTCTTCGGTTTAGTAGACTGTCTGCATTCTCTGCTTCTCTCTCCTCCCTCTGTCAGCTGGGGGGGGGGGGGGGGGGGCTGGAGTCCAACAAGGTGATCATTATTGGAATTCAACAATGGGCTCTGCTGTTACCTAATAGTACTGTGTGTTTGCAGCAACACATCGACATTAGCCTGACCTTGTGATTTGCAGCAAGAATTAGAAGAGTGTGACTCTAACTATCAGGATGGTACCACCCCTGACCCTTTGCAGGTGTACCGGTAAAGCTTCCCTTACAGTAGCATTTAATTTGACTAAAGCAGCTGCGTATGCTGATCACAAGTCTGCTTATTGGACCATTTTATTTGAGTTACACAAACAGTGAGAAAACATAGTCTTGTAAAGGGTATATTTTATGTCTCATGTATCCTATGTTTTTATATTTTTGCCCCACCAAAGGTTGCTCTGCCTCTGAACCGTAGGCCTGGACTGCTTAGATATTCAGCCCATGAAGGCACTGACAAGGGATCTTTTCTTGGAAATGGTTCCTTGTACCTTTTTACTTCCTGGATACATTAACTTACACTTCCTTTAGGTGCAGATCTAACAGTAACCCCAACATTTAAACCTGTGCCCAGTGTAGTAGGCATTGACATCCCCCAATGATGTTGTTAGCTCACTGCTTGATGGTTCACCAAAGTGATCCCGGGATACTCTTCCTGTCTGTGGCACTGTGAAGATCACATTGAGGGATATCTTCAGCTACATTGAAGCTGGCTTTCACTGCAGCATGATTTTTCGGTGGAACTTTTGCAAACATATTCTGTCGGAATGCAATTCTTGGACTTTATGTTGTTTATCTTCGTGGCTGAGGTAAGCATACTTGGTATTGCAATTGGTGTCGAAGTGCCGCTGTGAATTGTGTCCTCAAGCACGGCCACTGTAGACATACAGTCTCCATTATTAATTAATTATGAACCATCTAGAACCCCGAGGTTTTCTGGTACTGGTATTTTAATCTATACCTAAAGTGAAAACAAAGACCCAAAGTGAGGTGTCTTTCCATTACTCAGCCCACAATTGTGGAAAGCCTCCCTGAAGATCTGAGGGGGCAAAGAGTGTTCATACTTTTAAAAGCGAACTAAAGACCCACTTTTTTAATGTGGCTCTTAATTGAATTACATTTATACTTATTCAAATGTTTGATTCTTGTTTCATTCAGTCCTGTGTTTACTGACTTCTATTGGCATTCAATGTTTGTCCTAATCAAAAAGCGATGTGATGTGATTTATTACCTGGGAAGGGAGGATTTGATTTAATTTGCCCTTCTCTACCCTGAGCCTCACCAAGATGGCGTAAAGGGAATGTGGGTGGGCCCTTCCAGCTTGGGAAAAAGAATGGCTCAGAGAAAAGGGCCTTTATGTAACCAGATACACTCCCATATCACCTCAGACAGAGGAAGGAGCAACGTGTAGGCTACCAGACTAGCTAGCATCATGTTCTTCAACGAGTACATTCAGTATCATGGCCTTCCCCTGCCCCCTGTGGCTCACAGCACGGAGAGCTTGGAGTACGCCCAAAACTTCCCTGTGGAAGACACCGACGTGTTTGCTGTTACTTACCCCAAATCAGGTACAGTGCATTCATTCTCAGATCTGTAAGGTGTTTTTATCCGGCTGTTCCACTAATCCCTGGGTGATGCATCACCTTTTAATAACTTTTTTCCGGATACATTGTATTTTTTCAGTTGTTTAGAAAATAAACTCTTTTGACCATTACCTATGCTCACCCTTACCATTAAGGTATATGTCTAACCTCAACCATCTGCACTTGTGATGTCAGGAGTTCCAACAGGTGTGACGTGTGAGGTTCATCTGTTTATGATGCAGGCGAGGTCTTAAAAATGATGTATGTTTTGCCAAAGATTTAAAGAAGAAAAGACCAAATTACATTACATTACATTACATTGCATTTAGCTGACGCTTTTATCCAAAGCGACTTACAAATACTGTCCACATACGACCCAACGCAAAAAAATAAATGTCATGCGTATTTGGTTGACGTCAGAGCGTATTTGCCCATCCACACATAAACATCTAGTTTTTGGTTCAGATCAGGCTGAGACAGTTGATCAGCATCAATACTGCCTGAAAAAGAGAACTGATCTGTGTGTCATTGTTCTGTATGCTTTGGTACTGTGATGTTTAGTAACTTCATTTGCTTCTGGTGCTGCGGCAGATTATGAAAATCCCCTTTGATGGATCAATTAAGGCACATCTGAACTACAGTTCTGCAGTTTTGTATACACTGGTGTTATAGGCTACTATGTATCAGATTGTATTTGTTCTGTTATTGCTCGTTATAAAAACTTGAGCACGTCCTCCCAGACCAGAACATCTCATCACCCCCTCCATCAGTTCATTGTTACTTCTTGCAATAAACCTACAAACATCACACTGTTGTCCCTGCTAGTGAAAATGGTGTTAAGTGGAAATCATGACTGCTGCAAAAAAAAAACGTGTCAGAATCACAACTTTTTTTCCCAACAGTCGCCAAATGGGTTCACAAGCACACGCTTGTGAACCCATTTGGCGACTGTTGGGAAAAAAAGTTGTTATGGTCCTATATTTTGTTCTGTTTATCGTTTTTTGGAGTGCCTGTAAAGGCCCAGACACACCGGGACGATTTTGGCCGTCGATAGATGTCTGGCCGTCGATGAGCGTCGTGTCGCCCAGATTGGTGTGTCCCGCACCGTCGTGTCTTTTCGGCCGTGCCGACACCTTTTTGGCCGAAAACTTACCGATTCGACAATCGGCCAAAGGCTGTCGGTCAAATAAATCACTCTGATTGGCTGTTCAGCTAGCGAATCAGTGCATGAGAAGCTAAATGGAAGTGAGGGACCCAAACAAATGATTAAGAAGGCACACACAGACGGCTATTCTTTTTCATTTTCATCTCAGCTGGATGCAAGAGTTTATTTTTCATCATAGCGATCTGGAACGAAGAAACCGAAGACCAACGCACACGCTATTTGTTGTTTGTTTATATCACGCAGTCTGTTCTTCTTCTCTCGGTGTATCACGCAGTCTGTCTTCCGGTTGTTGCCTCTTTTTGAATGACGAATACACACTATCGC